TACTCAGCAGCAGAATAGCATAGCGCAAGGGCAGATGTCTTCACTGTGTCTGGTTGTGATCCCCAGGTTGTGCCAGTCAGCTTTCGTATGATATTGTTTCTAGCACCCACTTTTTGCTTGATGTTCAGGCAGTGCTTCTTGTAGGTCAGAGCACGGTCCAGAGTGACTCCCAGGTATTTGGGTGTGCTGCAATGCTCCAGTGGGATTCCTTCCCAGGTAATCCCCAGAGCTCGGGATGCTTGTCTGTTCTTGAGGTGAAAAGCACATGTCTGTATTTTACATGGATTAGGGATCAGCTGGTTTTCCCTGTAATAGGCAGTAAGAGCACCTAGAGCTCAATGCTATGGGATCATAAGAATTGTAGCTTGGTGATGCACCAGCACTCTCGGCCAGAGAAAGATAAAGACTTTGCGAAACTCCCAGGACTCCATAGCATTGAGCCACGGCAGTTGAAGTAGTGTCAAACTGTATTAATTCTACAGTGTAGATGCGCCCTTTATTAATTGAACTTTGGGTGGAAAGAAACCCTGTTTTCCCTTGCGATGCACAACCAACTCACCCAGTTGGGAGGCCAGCCATACAAAAGAGAATGACGGCCTCCCTTTGCCTCTAAGGAGCGGCCACATGGTGGAAAGGGAGAGCGGTTGCTCAGAACAGATGCCCTCTGAGTCTTCTCTCCTTCCACGGTTCACTGCCTCGGACTTCAGCCGCAATCTGCCCTTTCCTACTTGAATAATTGCCTGGATTTGAGGGGACGGATTATGCTCAATTAGTGTGCGGTTATATCCACATACGGAGTGTGTGTGTGTGTACGTGTGCTCCAGCAATGCTGGCCATGTTTGCCATGCGCCCTTTCCACATGGCAGGCGCTGTCACATCGGATGACCGGCACGGTGCGGCTTTTAAAGAGGCAGAAACCACCATCATCTTTGGGTGGGAAAAAACCCAACCCAACAAATAGTATTGTCGTAGGCTTTCATGGCTGGAATCACTGGGTTGTTGTAGGTTTTTTCGGGCTATATAGCCATGTTCTAGAGGCATTCTCTCCTGACGTTTCGCCTGCATCTATGGCAAGCATCCTCAGAGGTAGTGAGGTCTGTTGGAACTAGGAAAAATGGTTTATATATCTGTGGAATGACCAGGGTGGGACAAAGGACTCTTGTCTGCTGGAGCTAGGTGGGAATGTTTCAACTGACCACCTTGATTAGCATAAGATAGCCTGGCAGTGCCTGGAGCAAACTTTTGTTGAGAGGTGATTAGATCCAACAAATGCTACGTTGCAAAGGACAAGAGGGATCCTCTCACTCTGCAGGAGTCTACCATATACCATGCAGCTGTGGACAAGTCTACATAGGGACCACCAAACGCAGCATTGCCCAAACACGAATCAAGGAACATGAAAGGCACTGCAGACTACTTCAACCAGAGAAGTCAGCCATAGCAGAGCACCTGATGAACCAACCTGGGCACAAGCATATTATTTGAGAACACAGAAATGCTGGACCACTCTCACAACCACCATGTCAGACTACACAGAGAAGCCATTGAAATCCACAAGCATGTGGACAATTTCAACAGAAAGGAGGAAACCATGAAAATGAACAAAATCTGGCTACCAGTATTTAAAAAACTCTAAAATTAGAACAGCACAACAACAGAGAGGAAACAAACAAGGATATCTAATCACCTCTCAACAAAAGTTTGCTCCAGGCACTGTCAGGCAAGTATATGCTAATCAAGGTGGTCAGTTGAAACATTCACACCTAGCTCCAGCAGACATGAGTCCTTTGTCCCACCCTGGTCATTCCACAGATATATAAACCCTTTTTCCTAGTTCCAACAGACCTCACTACCTCTGAGGATGCTTGCCATAGATGCAGGCGAAATGTCAGGAGAGAATGCCTCTAGACCATGGCCATATAGCCCGAAGAAACCTACAACAACCCAGTGATTCCGGCCATGAAAGACTTCGACAATACAGGAGACTGTATTGTCAGAGGAAATAGGAAAGTGGGCTGTTGTAGGTTTTTTATGCTATATGGCCATGTTCTAGAAGCATTCACTCCTGACATTTTGCCTGCATCTATGGCAGGCATCCTCAGAGCCTGCAACTATGGCAAGCATTCTCACAACCTCTGAGGATGCTTGCCATAGATGCAGGTGAAACGTCAGAAGGGAATGCTTCTAGAACATGGCCATATAGCCCGAAAAATTTACAACAACCCAGTGAATAGCCAACACCTGTAGGGAAAAGGTCCGCAAGGCTAAAGCAAAAAACGAGCTCAGACTTGCCAGGGACATTAAAAACAATAAAAAGGGCTTCTATTCTTATGTCAGTAGAAAAAGGAAAAACAAGGAGGCGATAGGACCTCTTCGAGGAGAAGATGGGGCAATGCTGACAGGGGATAGGGAAAAGGCAGAACTACTTAATGCCTTCTTTGCCTCGGTCTTCTCACAAAAAGAGAGTCTTCAACCTCAGCAAGATGGAGTGGATGAGGATTGGAGGACATCCAACCCCAAATTGGGAAAGAAGTCGTCCAGGAATACCTGGCCGCTCTTAATGAGTTCAAGTCCCCAGGGCCAGATCAACTACACCCCAGAGTATTGAAGGAACTAGCGGAAGTCATTTCGGAACCATTGGCAACCATCTTTGAGAGTTCTTGGAGAACGGGAGAAGTTCCAGCAGATTGGAGGAGGGCCAATGTGGTCCCAATCTTCAAGAAGGGAAAAAAGGATGACCCAAACAACTACCGTCCGGTCAGCCTCACGTCGATACCGGGCAAGATTCTGGAAAAGATTGTTAAGGAAGCGGTCTGCAAACACTTAGAAACAAATGCAGTCATCGCTAATAGTCAACATGGATTTATCAAAAACAAGTCATGCCAGACTAATCTGATCTCTTTCTTCGATAGAGTTACAAGCTGGGTAGATGCGGGGAATGCCGTGGATGTAGCGTACCTGGATTTCAGTAAGGCCTTCGACAAGGTCCCCCATGACCTTCTGGCAAGGAAACTAGTCCAATGTGGGCTAGGCAAAACTACGGTGAGGTGGATCTGTAATTGGTTAAATGGACGAACCCAGAGGGTGCTCACCAATGCTTCCTCTTCATCCTGGAAAGAAGTGACGAGCGGAGTGCCACAAGCAGGGTTCCGTCCTGGGCCCGGTCCTGTTCAACATCTTTATTAATGACTTAGATGAAGGGCTAGAAGGCAGGATCATCAAGTTTGCAGACGACACCAAATTGGGAGGGATAGCCAATAGTCCAGAGGACAGGAGCAGGATTCAAAACGATCTTGACAGATTAGAGAGATGGGCCAAAACTAACAAAATGAAGTTCAACAGTGACAAATGCAAGCTACTCCACTTTGGCAGAAAAAATGAAATGCAAAGATACAGAATGGGTGACGCCTGGCTCGAGAGCAGTACGTGTGAAAAAGATCTTGGGAGTCCTCGTGGACAACAAGTTAAACATGAGCCAACAATGTGATGTGGCGGCAAAAAAAGCCAATGGGATTTGGCCTGCATCAATAGGAGCATAGTGTCTAGATCTAGGGAAGTCATGCTACCCCTCTATTCTGCTTTGGTTAGACCACACCTGGAATATTGTGTCCAATTCTGGGCACCACAATTCAAGAGAGACATTGACAAGCTGGAATGTGTCCAGAGGAGGGCGACTAAAATGATCAAGGGTCTGGAGAACAAGCCCTATGAGGAGCGGCTTAAGGAGCTGGGCATGTTTAGCCTAAAGAAGAGAAGGCTGAGAGGAGATATGATAGCCATGTATAAATATGTGAGAGGAAGCCACAGGGAGGAGGGAGCAAGCTTGTTTTCTGCTTCCTTGGAGACTAGGACGCGGAACAATGGCTTCAAACTACAAGAGAGGAGATTCCATCTGAACACTAGGAAGAACTTCCTGACTGTGAGAGCCGTTCAGCAGTGGAACTCTCTGCCCCGGAGTGTGGTGGAGGCTCCTTCTTTGGAAGCTTTTAAGCAGAGGCTGGATGGCCATTTGTCAGGGGTGATTTGAATGCAATATTCCTGCTTCTTGGCAGGGGTTGGACTGGATGGCCCATGAGGTCTCTTCCAACTCTTTGATTCTATGATTCTATGATTCTAATGCCTGTAAGCCGGAGAATGTATTGTCAGAGGAAATAGGAAAGTGGGCTGTTGTAGTTTTTTTGGGCTATATGGCCATGTTCTAGAAGCATTCTCTCCTGATGTTTTGCCTGCATCTATGGCAAGCATCCTCAGAGGCTGCATCTATGGCAAGCATCCTTACAACCTCTGAGGATGCTTGCCATAGATGCAGGCGAAACGTCAGAAGAGAATGCCTCTAGAATATGGCCATATAGCCCGAAAAACCTACAACAACCCAGTGATTCCAGCCATGAAAGCCTTCGACAATACATTGAAATAGGAAGGTTAAAATGGCAGCCACGAAAACAAAGTTTCTGGAGTAGAACAACTACTTTCAAAGTAAACAACACATTCAAACTAGGGACACGTTTTGTTGCAAAAGGCCCCATGTGGATGCATTGCTTAGAACCATGCATTTTGTGTGTTTGTCCATGCGCTTGCTCACAGCAGCAGTGAGCCAAGGCTTTGAGCAATGGAAAACCTGAATGGGGTTGAAATTCCAAACTTTTATCAGGTCGTTGAGTTGTAAATGAATAAACAGTTGATAAGAAGGACAAGTCGATAAAGCAGCAAGCCAGGAAATCTCCCAGACATGGCTTTATGGCAAAGCCTGGAAGAGCGGCTTTGTTTCTTTTGTTGTTCCTCACAATCTGGGGGTGCATTTACACTGTGGAATTAATGCAGCTTGACACCCTTTAAGTTGTAGTTTTACAAGGTCTTTTTGGTTTTTATGCCAATTAATGCTGGTGGCTCTCCAAACTACAAATCCGTGGGAGTTAACTGCATCGATTCCACATTGCGGATGCACCATGGATAGTCAAATCCCATTAGGTGCAGTGGCATATTAAATTATATCCCTGATATAAATGGTAAAAAGTTTGCGATGATATTTTCAAGCCATGGATAGCTGAATCTGCAATAATCTGTGGATACAGAGGGCCGGCTGTAAATCTTGAAGGCTTCGTTTGGCTCCTCTTCCTGACTCAGTTAGCTCTGAAAAAGTAAACACAGGAAGAATGCACTGATAAGCGACGCTGCAGAACATGTGCATCTTGCCAAGAACTTACTAATATGTTAATGTTTGTGGGAGAGATTGAGAGACTGGGATTCACAACACACCAGAGTTGGCTAAACAAATATCTGCATGGTTCCAGGTTGCTTAAAACTATCCTAAGGCCGATCCTTGTTTGCATCAACCAAAGCTTAACCTAGTAATTCCTGCAGTTTGGTCAAAGAATGGAATCACTTGCAGGCAAACAATAATATGGAAACTGAGTTGTTGTAGGTTTTTCAGGCTATATGGCCATGTTCTAGAAGCATTCTCTCCTGACGTTTCGCCTGCATCTATGGCAAGCATCCTCAGAGGTTGTATTCTCAGATGCCTAATCTAGATTCCCGTTCTCTGCTAGTATTGAAGGTCGTCTAGACCTGGTTGCTAATTCCTCCTGGATAAAAGGAATGCTGAAGGCTCTCTCCTCTGGCCCGATTTCTTTTGGCTCCGTCTTGCTCCTAAGCATTTTCTGGCTCTTGCTTCTGGCTGCGCGCCTTGGGCTTTATTCCCAGGCGACACTCCCAATGCATGTGATGGTTGACAGTTGCCTTCACTGTCCCTGGGAAAATGGGACCGGTCCTTCATTATGTCACCTACATGTTTCTGGGACGAACGTCTCCAAAGGAGGTCAACGGAGATGTTGAGTCACCATGAAGGAACCCAAGTCCCATGATGAATGGTTGGGGGAACTGGGTATGTTTAGTCTGGCGAAGGGAAGACTGAGAGGTGGTAAAAATCTTTAAATATCTGAAGAATTTTCATGTGGAAAACCAGCAATGACTGCTTTTGATTGCTCCAAATAGTGTGTCAACTTCAGAGTTTGCTTGGAATTCCAGAGGATCCCAGAGCTTCAGGACAGTCTTGAGAAGCTGGATTTGGTGTGGTTTGGATTGGCCCCTTGTCCCAATGGACACTAGTGCCATCAACCTGGTCAAGGCAAGAAATGGGTACAGCTCATCCTCATCCCCTTCCTTCGACTCCATTTTTCTTGCTGGTAATTTGGCTTTCCCATTCTGATATCACAGACATGGCAGGTGAAGGCCAACACTTGGATGGAGCTCCATGGTTGACAAGGAGAGGTGACATGAAAACAACAGCTATAGCTTGGCTCTAACATATGCGTGTTGAAACTGCCCAGGATTTAGCATGTATATGTTAGATCCAGGGTTACTCGAGACCATCATAGAATCAAAGAGTTGGAAGAGACCTCTTGGGCCATTCAGTCCAACCCCATTCTGCCAAGAAGCAGAAATATTGCATTCAAATCACCCCTGTGTTTTGTTGTTTATTCATTCTGTTGTTTCCGACTCTTTGTGATCTCATGGACCAGCCCATGTCAGAGCTCCCTGTCGGCCATCACCACCCCCAGCTCCTTCAAGGTCAATCCAGTCCCTTCAAGGATGTTATACACCCATCTTGCTCTTGGTCGGCCCCTCTTCCTTTTTTCTTCCATTTCCCCCAGCATCATTGTCTTCTCTAGGCTTTCCTGTCTTCTCATGATGTGGCCAAAGTACTTCATCTTTGCCTCTAATATCTTTCCTTCCGATGAGCAGTTGGGTTTTATTTCCTGGAATATGGACTGGTTTGATCTTCTTGCAGTCCAAGGCACTCTAAGAATTTTCCTCCAGCACCACAGTTCAAAAGTGTCTGTCTTCCTTTGCTCAGTCTTCCTTATAGTCCAGCTCTCACATCCGTATGTTACCATGAGGAATTTGTTGTTCATTCATTCAGTCGTTTCTAACTCTTCGTGACCTCATGGACCATCCCACCCCAGAGCTCCCTGTCAGCCGTCACCACCCCCAGCTCCTTCAAGGTCAATCTAGTCCTTTCAAGGATGCCATCCACCCATCTTACTCTTGGTCGGCCCCTCTTCCTTTTCCTTCCATTTCCCCCAGCATCACTGTCTTCTCTAAGCTTTCCTGTCTCCTCATGATGTGGCCAAAGCACTTCATCTTGGCCTCTAATATCCTTCCTTCCAGTGAGCAGCCGGGCTTTATTTCCTGAAGAATGGGCTGGTTGGATCTTCTCACAGTCCAAGGCACTCTCAGTATTTTCCTCCAGCACCACAGTTCAAAAGCGTCTCTCTTCCTCCGCTCAGCCTTCCCTATGGTCCAGCTCACACATCCATACGTAACTACGGGGAATGCCATTGCTTTAACTATGCAGCTCTTCATTGCCAGTGTGATGTCTCCACTCTTCACTATTTTATCAAGATTGGTCATTGCTCTCCTCCCAAGAAGTAAACGTTTTCTGATTTCCTGGCTGCAGTCTGCATCTTCAGGAATCTTTGCACTCTCTATATGCCAGTTATCAATAATTCTTGTTGCCATAATCTTGGGGGTTTTTTACGTTTACCTGCAACCCAGCTTTGGCCTTTCTTCTTTCACGTTGGTTAGAAGGCTCCTCAGATCCTCCTCATTTTGGGCCATCAAAGTGGTATCATCTGCATATCTAAGGTTGTTAACTTTGTTTAACCCCAGCCTTGGATTCGTCAAGCCCCGCACATCGCATGATGTATACTCTGCATAAAAGTTGAATAGGTTGGGTGAGAGTATACAACCCTGCCTTACACCGGTGTAAATGAGCCCTAAGCTGACTCATGAGAGCTATTTTAAAGTGAAGTAGTTCACTTCAGACAGTGATGGATTTTCCTTCATTTTAGTAATGGACTCCAGGAAGGTTGGAGGTTGGACTGGGTGATCCTTGAGGCTTCTTCGAACTCTTTGATCTAATTCTGAAGAGTAGCACTTGGTCCTTTGTAATCATCCGTTTGACTTTGAACTGTTAGGAAGCCTGAGATGACGAATGTTCAACTTTGGAGAACATCCATATCTGCCGGTCCCTCCAGGCCTCTAATTCTCATAACAGTTTGCACAACATTCCCCAATAACGATCTGGTTCTCTCCTGAGGCATCTGGTCAAGGCACGTGTGGACCATCAACTTGATGTATGCAACTCTCTGTTGAGTGACAGGAGGACCCACACTCTAAGTTTTGTTTTCTTTTGAATAGAGGGATACAATTCATGACAACTGCTGGGGGCGAGTCTTCATTCGGCGCCGGCCTGCATACAATCACATATTATGGTCAGCAGTAAAAAGAGAAACCAGACATCACATGTTCCTGTTGATGGAAAGATCATTGGGTCATATGCATATTTTATTGTTTGGGTATTAGGCACATCCTTGGAACACATAAATAACAGCATAGTTATGGGAAAATCATAGAATCATAGAATCAAAGAGTTGGAAGAGACCTCATGGGCCATCCAGTCCAACCCCTGCCAAGAAGCAGGAATATTGCATTCAAATCACCCCTGACAGATGGCCATCCAGCCTCTGTTTAAAAGCTTCAAAGAAGGAGCCTCCAGCACACTCCGGGGCAGAGAGTTCCACTGCTGAACGGCTCTCACAGTCAGGAAGTTCTTCCTCATGTTCAGATGGAATCTCCTTTCTTGTAGTTTGAAGCCATTGTTCCGAGTCCTAGTCTCCAGGGAAGCAGAAAACAAGCTTGCTCCCTCCTCCCTGTGGCTTCCTCTCACATATTTATACATGGCTATCATATCTCCTCTCAGCCTTCTCTTCTTCAGGCTAAACATGCCCAGCTCCTTAAGCCGCTCCTCATAGGGCTTGTTCTCCAGACCTTTTATCATTTTAGTCGCTCTCCTCTGGACACACTCCAGCTTGTCAATATCTCTCTTGAATTGTGGTGCCCAGAATTGGACACAATATTCCAGATGTGGTCTAACCAAAACAGAATAGAGGGGTAGCATTACTTCCCTAGATCTAGACACTATGCTCCTATTGATGCAGGCCAAAATCCCATTGGCCTGCATCAAACTCAGAAATCTCAGAAAACAATGTAGGAAAGTGTGCCATGATGGGCCACGGAGAAGGAATTTCCCTCTGTGTTTCATGCGCCCACTTTCAAGTTGCACCATACTGTCTGAGCTTGTTTTGGCAGATAAAATAAGGAGAAAAGGGCAAGAAGACTGGGATCCTACTTTGAGTAGGAATAACGTAAAGATCTGCCCAAAAAAGTCCATGTCCATCTGTTCGATGAGCCGTCAAACCCTTGGAAGGGTCAATGTAACGGCTGCTTACCAATGGGGAGATAAGTCAGAGGATGGAAATATAATTGGTCCATGCTCAGAAGGGAAAAAAAATAAGGACCTGCTTCCAGATGGGAGTGCAATGTCTTTTTCCTGCCTTTGAAGACGGTTCGGAAACTTCAGCTAGTCCAACGGGCAGCAGCCAGATTACTAACTGGGGCAGCATACAGGGAGCATACCACCCCCTTGTTGTGTGAGCTCCACTGGCTGCCGATCCACCTCCGAGCCAAATTCAAAATGCTGGTTTTGACCTATAAAGCTCTATACGGTTCTGGCCCAGCTTATTTGTCCGAATGCATCTACCCCTATGTCCCACCTCATAATCTAAGATCATCCGGGGAGGACCTGCTCTCGCTCCCGTCAACAGCGCAAATGCACCTGGCGGGGACGAGAGACAGGGCCTTCTCGGCTGTGGCCCCCCGCCTATGGAACACTCTCCCAAATGAGGTAAGATCCGCTCCCTCCCTCCTGGCTTTTAGGAAAAAATTAAAAACATGGTTTTGGGACCAGGCCTTCGGGCAGTAGAAACAAATCTATGCAGCATTTCGGAAAGACAATGACTGGAACGGCGATTCGACGGATGAGACTGTTTTACTGTTTTAATTATTGTTCTACTGTTTATGGATGTATTTTAATTTGATTTATGTCTAACTGTAATTGTATAATTGTAATTGTTTGTGCTGGCATTGAATTTTGCCATTACCTATGTGGAAACCGCTTTGAGTCCCCTTCAGAGTGAGAAAAGAGATATGAAATCCAGCATATAGATCTCGTTTGCTGTGACATACTGTGTGTTTGTGTCAGAATAATAATAATAATAATAATAATAATAATAACAACAACAACAACAGCACAATGACTCCACTTTCTGCAATTTACATTGTGCAATCCTAGTGACAGATTTCAGCCGTCCTGTGGTTCTTTGCATTTCTTGAAGCGGGCTCGTATTTGCATTTCGGAGTGTTTCAGAAATTGTTCTTGCGGTTCAGTCGCTTGGCTCTTTGTTGTTATCAGCCAACTCAAGCTTTTTTGAGGCAGTGAGATGTATACCTTTCCAAACATGCAAATTGTTCCAGCCACAACTTTGGCTGCGGCTCTTGAGCGCGCACACAGCTGGCTCTGGTTGCGTTTGGCGGCGGGCCATGTCAGCTTGACCAAATCTCCGGCTTCCCGATGTGAAAATACTCTTGTGTACAATGCAAAGGTTAATAGATAATCCTCTCCCCCTTTAGTCTCCAGCACACACACTTGCACACATATACATGACTTGAGCAAGGGCTTGCCGGAAGCAGGGGTGTTGAGCAGCCCAAACGCACGTACCTGCCTCCTCCGAGTGACAGCGCAAACCATCTGTCCGTACCCAGGATCTCTTATCCCACCGTGATTCACTCATGCGGAGACCGCTAGCCCCGAGGGCATGTGTCACAACAACATGTGCAACACTTATGCCGTTTCTCTGCCATTGGAGGGACTTCCTTTGGTGCTCCCTTGCTCACACACACACGCACGTAGGCACACAAATGCCAGGCAAAACATGCAGTCCGTTGCGATGCCTTCCTTTTAGTCATGAGAGGAGGCCTGAGTCAGCAGAACGGAAGCCTTTGGGTCATTGTCCCGCCTGGCCTGGATTTCGAGAAATATAAGACAGTTGTGTACTGGTGATGTAAGATGAACCTTTGCACCTCTTTGAGCACATCATTTATGGGCCTTGGGTGAGATGGGGAAGCACAGAAATCACGAGTGATTAGAAGGATGTGTCCTCAGTGAAAGGATAGTTCACACCAGATGTCAACAATCTCTGGAGAACCAATTCATTTGCCCACAGACTGCAACTAAGCTAAATCAATGAGCACAGAAACACAGAATCCTTGGAGTTCTTCTGGGTGGGTTGGATAGGCACAGAAATCACAAACAATTAGAAAGATGTATCCTATGCGAAAGGATAGATAAGTGTTCACACTAGATGTCAATAATCCCTGGAGAGCCATCCATTTGCCCATGGACTGCAACAAAGACAAATCAATGAGCATAGAAACACAGTATCCTAGAGCTGGAAGAGACCCAAAAGATCATCCAGTCTAACCTCCTTCTACCAGGCAAGAAGACACAATCCAAGCACTCCTGACCAGGCTGCCTGGTCATGTTACAGAAGCATTCTCTCCTGACGTTTCGCCCACATCTATGGTAGGCATCCTCAGAGGTTGTGAGGTCTGTTGGAAACTAGGCAAGTGAGGTTTATATATCTGTAGAATAATGTCCAGGGTGGGAGAAAGAACTCTTGTCTGCTTGAATGTTGCAATTTGCCACCTTGAAGCATTGCAGCTTCAAAGCCTGGCTGATTGTTGCCTAGGGGAATCCTTTGTTGGGAGGTTGTTTTTTTTTTGTCGTGTCAGAAACTGTAAGTTGCTTCTAGTGTGAGAGAATTGGCCATCTGCAAGGACGTTGCCCAGGGGACACCCGGTTGTTTTGATGTTTTACTACCCTTGTGGGAGGCTTCTCTCATGTCCCTACTTGAGGAGCTGGAGCTGACAGAGGGAGCTCATCCATGCTCTCCCCGGATTCGAACCTGTGACTTGTCTTGCCGGCATAGGGGTTTAACCCACTGTGCCACCTGGGGCTCCTGTTAGGAGGTGTTAACTGGTCTTGATTGATTCTTGTCTGGAATTCCCCTGTTTTTTGACCGTAGCTCTTTATTAACTGTCCTTTATTAACTGTTTAAATTGTTCATTTTCCTTGTTTCCTCCTTTCTGACATGAAACAATCAGGACCAGCTAACACCTCCCAACAAAAGATTCCCCCAGGCAGGAAACAGCCAGGCTTTTAAAGTGGTCTGATCAAGCATTATTTCCCTGGATCTAGGCACTAGGCTCCTATTGATGCAGGCCAACATCCCATTGGCTTTCTTTTTTTTTGCTACCGTATGACATTGTTGGTTCATGTTCCCCTTCCTCCCCATGAGGACTCCGAGATCTTTTTCACAGGTACTGTTGTCAAGCCAGGCATCCTTCAAACTAACAAAATGAAGTTCAACAGTGACAAATGCAAGATACTCCACTTTGGCAGGAAAAATGAAATGCAAAGATACAGAATGGGGGACAATGCCTGGCCTGAGAGCAGTACGTGTGAAAAAGATCTTGGAGTCCTCGTGGACAGGAAGTTAAACATGAGCCAACAATGTGATGTGGTGGCAAAAAAAACCAAAAAAAAAACCAATGGGATTTTGGCCTGCATCAATAGGAGCATAGTGTCTAGGTCCAGGGAAGTCATGCTACCCATGCTCTATTCTGCTTTGGTTAGACCACACCTGGAATATTGTGTCCAATTCTGGGCACCACAATTCAAGATAGATATTGACTCTAAGCTGGAATGTGTCCAGAGGAGGGCGACTTAAATGATCAAGGGTCTAGAGAACAAGCCCTATGAGGAGCGGCTTAAGGAGCTGGGCATGTTTAGCCTGAAGAAGAGAAGGCTGAGAGGAGACATGATAGCCATGCATAAATATGCGAGAGGAAGTCACAGGGAGGAGGGAGCAAGTTTGTTTTCTGCTTCCTTGGAGACTAGGACGGAATGGAGCCATGGCTTCAAACTACAAGAGAGGAGATTCCATCTGAACATGAGGAAGAACTTCCTGACTGTGAGAGCCGTTCAGCAGTGGAACTCTCTGCCCCGGAGTGTGGTGGAGGCTCCTTCTTTGGAAGCTTTTAAACAGAGGCTGGATGGCCATCTGTCGGGGGTGATTTGAATGCAATATTCCTGCTTCTTGGCAGAATGGGGTTGGACTGGATGGCCCATGAAGTCTCTTCCAACTCTTGGATTCTATGATTCTATGATTCTATGAAATCGGATAGGCAGGGATGCACACACAACACCGATATGTGAAGGAGGTGGAGGTAGTTCAACTGGTAGTGTTGCATTCCAGGAACAGAGCCAGAAGAGGAAATTCCTGGTGTGTTTCGGGAGGGCTTTCTGCTTCAGAGCGAAGGAGGAATTAGGAAGGGCTTGGGTTTCCACCCCATTGGAAGAAAAGGAATGCAGAGCTGCACGAAACTCTCCGGCAGGAGGGAAGGGATTCGGCCCCAGAGTCCCTGGAGAGGCTGCTGTGTTTTTGAAATCCAAGACACTGCATGTGTGTGTGTGTGTTTGCGAAACTGTGTCAGTGGCTGTGGGTTAATTTAGCCTCTGGAGAGAGATCAATTTAGCATGTGGCAAACAAATGTCCCCGAGCGAGAACCGCAAGGAGGAAGGTTTGGGAAGAAGGCCAGGAAAACTAGAAGGGAGGGGAAGGGAGGCACGATTGCTCAAGCCGGGATGGCTAGAACCCAGCCAAAGATGTGGGGAATGGAGTGGGGCGGGTAAAGGGGCAGGGAGGGGGAAAGAGCAAAGCCTCGGCCAAAGCGGGGATGAAAACTGGCAACAAACCCTGGCCTGTTTTGCTAGGCTTGGAAGGAAGGAGAGAAAAAGAAGCCATGAACTCGGCCTTTGCAATCTCCAGGCAAGCCCCAACAAGGCGCCTGCCTGTGAGAGCGTTCTCAGAGAAGCACAGAGTATACAGAGTTGGAAGGGATCCCAAAGGCCATCCAGTTCAATTCCTTCTGCCATGCAGGAACACAGAATCAAAGCACCCCTGGCAGATGGCCATCCAGCTTATGCTTAAAAACCTCCAGAGAATGAAGTTCTGATATCGAGCTTGAATTTGGAGAGTCTCTCCGGGAGAAGAGACTCTTAAGACCGCACCAAAGAGGGTCTCTAGAACTTGGCGAGATCAGAGAAGCGAATTCCAGCAGCGAAAAATATTAAAAAAATAATAAAGTCTCACCAAGCGGAAGAAGATGGCGACCGAGGCTCTTTATTAGCGATTCAGCTGAGATCGGATGCAAGTGTAGGGATAGTTCCACTACAAGCATACCAACACAGAATTTACAGGCATTTTTATAGGCAAAATACAGAAAAACATTTCAAATTTCCCGCCCGCCCCTCTTCGCCTAGCTTCTTGCTGATTGGCTGGCAGTTTGAACAGCTGGGAGGAGGCTCGGTGGCCCGCCTCGCTCTGGGCCAATCAGCAGGCTTCCCCGCCTCTGGGGAACCAATCGGCGCGCTTCTCTCGCTTCTGAGGATGGACGAATCAGGAGAGAGAAGGCAGGACAATCACGGACAATGGGAGAAGATGGGATTATCCCTTTTGCCGGCCAGCTGGAATTTTGAGGCATTGTTTGGCCGGCAGGAGCTTAATTATTTTAAGAAAGGTTTTTCTGTTTCAGTTCTCATAAGGTGTGCCTCTTGATGGGCTTGGTGAATGAAGTAAACAGGACCGGGGCGAGGGGACCCCGGGGGTCGTCCTCGTCCCTTTGTGATTCAATCAAAATGTCCAAAGAAACTTCCTTGTCTGCCAGACGAACTCAGAAAGCAAACAAAGAATATTTCAACTTGTTATTGTCCATGCAGAATGTTTGGTGAATTGGCTGGTTTCAAGGGAGCTTGGCTCTCCCTCAGGCATTTAACAGTCCCTGGTCACATTTTTTCTAGGGCAAAAGGCAAGGGGAAAGGCAGGAGGGCAAGCAATATTCCATGCATATACAATCAATATATAATTCATACAGAAAAGATCCCGTCTCCATCCCACATCCCAAATATTTAATAAAAGAATAGATCTTTATTTGAAAACTCAGAGTTCAATGTTTCTTTGAGAAAGTTCGTGGAAATAGATGCGTCTCACAGTCCAAAACAAGCAGCAGAAAGTCATTTTGCCTTTGCAAAGATCAGCAGATGGATTCTGCTGCGATTTCATAGCTTGGTCCTTGGGAAACTATAATTCCTTCCCAAGGGCTGGGCTCCCTGCCCGGTCCCTTCTCCGAGGTCCTATGGGGGGACCCGCTTCAAGTCCCCGGGTCCGGAGCTAGGCAGGAGCGAGCGGCCGCGAGAAGAAGTTGGCTGTTTGCACGGAACGGCGATTTTGGTAATCAGCTGTTTTCTGTCAAATTATATTCTCAAAAATAAAAAGGTTATTTCCCGGGCGTAGGGGTCCAAAATGAGAAAAGCGAGATAGCAGTTTAGTTTAGAATTAAGCATAGAAAAATATGGCATTAAAATGGAGCCGATCCGCCATTCCGAGACTTTAGGGGATACGGGGGCCCAAAAGGGAGATTCTCGTATCCGCGATTTCAATTGGCGCAGATCCGGCGTCCCTGGGACACCAGGAAGGCATCCCAGGCAGGCTCACGGTTCCTCGGAGCCTAGAAAGAGGTTTATTTCATGCATTGGTTAGTTCAAGCAAGTGGAGGACACAAAGTATCAAGCTAAAAGTTGCAATTCTCAAGTACTTTTATTAGGGATTAGATACAAAGTCAGGGCTAGAGGGAAAGTAACAGAGGCTGAGTGCAGTCTTAGTTGGAGCTGTCTGTTGGGGCACATCTCATCAGTTTATCCCAATTTTGGCTTCCAGGAACTGCAGAACTCTCCGCTGCAGTGCAGACCAATTACTGGGCGGGGGCCCTCGACACCAGTTCCACTATTATCCAATCCATCTTGAATGTTTCCATCTTGAAAGTTCATAAT